GAACCTTCAATCAATTCGAAAATATATTCAAAACTTTCATGATTCATTTTGATTCAATCTGGCATAAATAATACCTACTCGCAATAATTTTAATTATTTTGGCAAACATTTATTCTTTTATTGCAACTTTCAACAGTTATACTTCTATCTTTTATTTATCACTTTTTAGGCCGCCATAATAATAGCATTCCTATTAAAAAAAAATTTGTTTACTTTAATTTGTTTAACTGGGGCGCATGAATAAGTTCTAAAATTAATTTGTTAGAATTACATTAAATAGAATTTTCTTTTAACCGAATTTTTACTTGACCGAATTATTATTTTACAGAATTTCTGTTCATCCGATTTTCTATATATGACAGAATTTTTATATAACCGAACATTCAATTAATTAATGAAAATTCTAAAAAGGTTAAGTAACAATTCTGTAATGTGAAAAAACGATGAAATAGAAATTCTGTGAAATAATAATTCTAAAAAATGAAACTCAGGATAAAAGTAAATTCTTTATATTAAAATTCTGTCTAATAAGAATTTGTCTAAATAGCTATTCTGTTTAACAAAAAATCGAGCATATGAAAATTCGATCAAATATAAGTTCTGTCAGTTGAATGTCGTTGCTTGACAAAGATAACTGACGCACACACCACTTTTATTTCTGTGTGTCAGTAAATCTGTACGCGGTCAGATCGTGTCTGTTTTACGCTCTTGCGAGACGAAGATGAGAAATAAGAATTCGACCAATGGAATAGACGCCACGGCGACAATCGACCAATGGGATACGCGTTACGTTACTCTTTAGAGATTTCTTATTAAGGATCACACATATTACATATTCTTGAGGAACGCACGCTTTTAATACAATACTAATATAAATAACTTATTTTAATAATACACACATTCACATAATCGTCGCAATACATGCTTGAGAAAAAAGAAAATTTCTTTATATACTAAACAACAAAAAGTATTGCCGCTTGCGAGAGAATTTCTACAAATATATGTTAAATACCTGTGTAAATCAAATTTAATATTTTAAATTTATTTAAATTTATTAATTAAAATATAAATTATTAGTATAAATAAAGTAAAATTTAAATTAAATTCTCAAAATTAAATATTATTCAGTAAATTTCATTTTGTGTTTCCTTCACTGTTTAACTTTTTGAATAATTTTAATTAAAAATTTGGAAAATTTCTTCAAAATTTTAACAATAATTCAAAAAATTTAGATTTTTTAAAAAGTTATTATTTTAAATAAATATAATAAAAAAATTTTCTAAGAATTACTTTTTTACAATGATTACTTGATATATACTTTTTTTGAAACTATTTTTTGTTTTGATTTTTTATTAAAATTTTTCAATATTTGATTTTCAGACATTTTTATGAAACACTTAAAATAAATAAATTATTTTTAATAAAACACAAAATAATAATAAACACATATTTAAAAATAATTTTTTTATATGAAATTATACATTTGATTTAATTATTATTTAAATTAATCTAATTTGTTAAATCTAAATATTGAATAAAATGTTCAAAATAGTCATTTCTCATATTTGCAAACTATATACTTAATACATACATATTGATAATATTACTATTACGTGATTAAACCCAATCGGTTATATTCGGCAATAATCGGATATTTTTCGTACATCATCGGTAAAGTTCGACCAAGCGAATGCTACTAAGAAATAAAATTCCTATTTTCAATGGGAATGTTTTCAAAAAACAATTTTAGATGTTACAACAACCAATTTTAAGATGAGCAATATTTTTATCACCTCTGCTTCTTTCCAATAAAAATAGTAATATTTTTAAAACAGAGTGTAATATGTGAAATTTCAACTGTTACTTTTCATAATTATTCTATTTAAAATTCTTTTTGTGAATATCTCTTTTTCCTAATTTACAATTCATATAGCTTTTATTAATCATTCCAACTCCTTATTGTAATTATTAATAATATACTATACTTTTAAATGATACCGATAAATTTATTTTGTAATACAGTAGTAGAAAATAATGTCATTTTTGTCACTTCATCCTCTCTTACTATTGGTTTTTTGTAAAAATAATTATTATAATGTCAAATTTTACAAACTAAAGTTTCTCCGTGTAGATTGTTAATAAACAATTGCAATTTTAACTAATTGTTTATTAACAATCTACTCATTCAAAATACTTCATATAGGGGTTGTTGGATGCCGAATTACGTCAACTTTCAATTGCTAATTTCAGAATTAAGATAACTTTATTTCTTTGTAAAATATTCCATTTTTTATAATCATTAATTAATTAATATATCGAAAACCAAAAAAACGTCATTTTAGTTTTTTTTGGTATTGAAAGTATATATCTTAAGCTTCATTTTGAGGGTAAAAAAAGTGCCTCTTTTAAAAAAAATATATATATTTGATTTTCAAAAAAGGAGTAAATTTTGAATTTAAAAAAACAATTTTCACCATTCGAAAGAGCACAAAAAAATCTTTCGACAGCATAGAGGTCAAAAATTTTTCATCCATTTATATAGAAAATACGATTTTTTAAAAAATCCACTGTTCAAATTTGACGATAAACTTGAACCCCCTCCCCCCTTACAGTTTTGCATAAAACTTAATAATAATTTGTGGGTGAAGTACTCACTCATAGTTCTAAAGTTTGTGCAAATTTCAGCCCGATCCGAAAATCTTCAACTTTAATGTTGGATCACTTCAGGAATTTTGCCTCACATAGGGGACATAGGGGCAAAATGGTTAACATTTGAAGCTCAATGAAACTAACATTACTATATCTACACTGCCGCTCAATAATATTTGCCCAACTTACTGGATATCAGGGCTTTACAAAAAGTTACTTATCTTTAATTCTAATAAAGATATAATCTTCGTCAAATATTCATCTTAAAGCTTATATCTTTAACTTGAACGATAAAAAAGAGAAAATTAAAAAAAAGTTCATTGTTTAATTGTTTAAAATGGAAAAAAATTTTCATTTTTTTGTAAATTTCAAATTAATACAGTTTGTGAAGAAATAATCAAATTTTTCTACGATGATTTTTGAGTAAGGTATGACCATTTGTTTAAAAAATAACCCTTTTTCAATTGATAATAATATGATAACTTATGAACAATTGACATTTGGAAAAAAAAATTTTAGAGAAAAAATGTTCCTTATTATGTGTAGAATTAGGAAAAAAATATTTAAAAATTTTCTTAAATAATTTTGTTTTTCTCTCATTTTGACCTTATATATTTTATGACAAATATAAGGCATTTTATACGTGTAATGTCCTGAGTTAAAAAATAGATTTCTCGAAAAAAAGTAAAACTTGGGGAAATTGTTGTCCTACCTGATAGTAAAATATCCCGAAAAAATTTTTTGACTTTTTTGAAATTTTGGGGGCGATAGAGGGGGTCAATTTTATCAGTTTTCACTGACACTGCCTACTATTTAAATTTTTTCTGTCTATAAATGCATTAAAAAAATTTTGACAGGTATGTTTTTTGAAGGTTTTTTCATGCTATTTCCAATAGTGGATTTCGTTTTTTAAAATTCTTGAATTTTGATTTTCTATAATTAAACATAAACTTTGCGCATTAAGAAAAATAAGAAGTTTAAATTCTTTTCTATTGACTTATCTGTACTGGAAATAGAAAAGAACTCATTTTTTATATTTAGATGTTCACTGGGGAATTGGGTAAAAACGTAAATTCGTCTATTCAGAATAATTGAAAATGATCAACTTATGCTTAATATATTCAAAATTTAAATCTTGTTATATTTCTCGCTTTTTACCGGGTCCTGCAAAATTCGGTGCTATCTAGGTCCTTGTTGTTCATAACGACAAACTACGTCAAAAGTTTGGATTCTGAGAAATATATAGGCAAAAGTGTGATTCTGATTTTATTATTTAACTGAGACTGGGAAAAACCGGCCATGTGGAGGTGTTAATTTCTCCGAATTGTTCAAACTTTAAAATATGTCAATTATAAATTTAAAAAGAGTATATTAAGAATACCTTATTTCCTCAGTTTGACATTTTTTAATTGTGTTTGTGCAATTTTATAAACAAAATTTTGTTTTTTCGCTTCCGCTAGAAATTTTTATGCATCAGTTCTTAAGAAATTTGTGAGAAAATCGTGTAATGTTTATTAAAATTGTTTTTTAGTAGAGGTTTGCAAAAAGTTTGAATGTCAAAACGAGTCGAGCCGAAATTTTTTCGAGCCGAGTCGAGCCCGAGCATGACTTGAATTTTTCAAGCACTCAAGTGAATTCGAGCATATTAAACGTTCAATTTTTATTGTTTTGCAAAAATTACAAAATTAATCAACAGATAAGTGATTGATTACATATTGGAAATTACAAATTTATGAAGAAATAGTAAATAGCTTACAAACAATCTAATATTCAAATTCAATTTACACAAGTAGTCGACTATTTTCGAGTACTCGAATTTACTAATAATGCTCGACTCGGCTCGACTCCAAAAACGAAAGGCTCGAAAAATCTCGATCGAGTTTCGAGCTTTTTGAACACAGGCCTATGTCTGTCTCCCTTGCAACATAAATTCACGAAGATTACCTATCGGCTAGGAAACTTCGTGAACGCTTTCGTGAATCTTTGTCGACTTTACGGAGATTTACGAAATTTTACAAAGTTCACGGACAGGCGTTTCTTCGTGAACGACAACAATTAGTTAAAACTATTTGTTTTATAATAAATAAGATGTTTCTTCCATAGAAAATTTAATTTTATCTTATTATTTTCCTTATTGGGAAGATTGTTTATTGATTTTTTATATTTAGTGAAGTTTTCCTTTCAATTAATTCTCTAAACAAACAAAAATAAATAAACTGGTCAGCTTGCCCCAGTCTCCCCTATAGATAGATTGATTTAGAAAAAGATGTATATATAATGTATAGATGTATATTATGCTTAAAGTGCTTAAAATTTTTTTAATACCATGAAAACATTGTTTGTCATTATAGGAAAAACCTGAATATGTTCACTACATCTTTGTTGTTGTGGATCATTTCGGTGCTGCCATCATCTTCTGGATTCATCGGATACGATTGCGCATCGCAAAATTTAAATGTAACTACACTGTCCTTATTGGATGTCGACAGTTGCGAATTGCCCCCCATTTCTATCACCACACAAGAGCAATACATTGAATTATTACAAGTTAATACGTACAAAGAAGCGACCGTTACCCAATGTAAAATAGAAGTTCACCGCACAGTTTATCACTGCGGAATGTTTTCGCACATATCAGTAGTTATAGAGGGTGAAAATAATTATATCAAATCTATAAGCAGAGAGGCTTGTCTAGAAGCTCACAAGTTTGGACACTTTAGAATTAGAGATGATCATATAATTGATGGACTGAGGGTAAATAACACAGTTACCATTCCAACATTATTTGCAGGAAATTTGGATAGAACAGGTAAATGTAAAGGAGCAACTTTCTCAGATCCGTATGGAACATGGGAAAATGTAGTGGTTCAAGGGACTGTGACAATAACCCTTAGCGATCATCAAGCTAGAATCAACTTGGAAAACAACAAGATTCATTTACGTTCCGGAACAGCTTGTCCTCTAACTGAGAGAACATGCATGGATCGAGATGAAGGCAATAGCTTCTGGGAGCCAGTACCGAAGGACATCTGTAAATTTGATAAATATACTGTACTTTACCGAGGCATAGCAAGCAAAATGACGGACTACCAAGTTAATAATACCGAGACAGTATATTCAATATCATCTAAACAAATAACATTTGCCTTGATGACAAAAGGTGTTGAAAATTTATGTGGGTACAATCTAATTACTACAGAACATCCGCAGCTAATTGTTTTTGAAACGAACCCAGGCAGAACTTTTGCAAGTAATGAAAAAACTATATCGAATTTAGATAATTTTTTGTTTATGAATTCAAAATTTCTATATATTGAAAAACATATAAGAACGCAGATAAAAAATTTATACAGAGATGTATTATTACAAAAGTGCAATTTAGAAAGGCAAACATTGAAGAATTCGTTATCCATCGCCATGCATTCTCCTGATGAATTTGCATACGACTTCATGAAGAAAGCCGGCTACATGGCAGTTGTAGCTGGCGAAGTAATACACTTAATTGAATGTTTACCAGTGGAGGTCCAAATTCAACAAGGCACAGCATGTTATGCAGAAATTCAAGTCTCTAGAAATAATAAAACCTATTTTATGAGTCCCAGAACACATATTTTGAAAGGTACTGGAACAGAAATTCCATGCAGCCGAGTACTTCCTGTTCATTTCTTCTTATCCGGAAAATGGTATAAAGTACTGCCATTCCTTACAACAGCAACAACTCCAAACGTGATTAAACCAGAAACAAAACCAACTTGGGAATATGAAGTTCCAGCCAATCTTGCTACCAGTGGAATATACTCCCAATATGACATAAATTTGCTTTGGGAGAGAATAATGTTTCCCGTCGAAAAGAAAGCAGTTTTAAGCGATTTGGCTCGAGAAATAAAAGGGTATAGAATTTCGAATTCCGGAGGAAGTTTTGGAAAATTATTCGACAACAATGCATTAGAAAAAATTATTGAAAACACTTGGACGAAACTGTGGACAAAATTCACTACCTTCGGCACATTCGGTGCTGGGGTCTTATTTCTTATATTCATATACCAGATAATCAAAGGAGTAATAGAGATAGTTTTGCAAGGTTATGCTCTTCACTCTATTTTCGGATGGTCGCTTCATCTACTTGGAGCACTGTGGGGTTCTCTAACTCATTTCTTAATACATATGGCAGACACACCTAAACAAACTAGAGAAGAATTAGATAGAGAATTAGAAGAAATTGTAATAAAAACTACTACTACAAATCCTGTTGCAGTTCAAGCGGAAAGCAGTATGAATAGAAAAGAAGAAATGTACCCCTCAAGTGAATTGAATCAAATAAAGTCAGGGAAAATTTCCAAATTTTAATTTGTGTAACAGCTATATTATATGAATTTTGTAATATTTTTTAATGTAATTTCATATTTACTTAACTAAGAGAAAGAAAGTATTAGTTGTTATTCGCATAGAGTACAACATGTAACATTAAAATATGATCCATAGGAAATTAATGAAAGTATAAACAAGGTGTTCAATTCATGACCATTTAGCTTCCTCATCATGATGCACTTATGTTCAAGATTAAAAGAAGGATTACAAATAAAATTGCGATCAATTTTATAAATGTTGGTAAAATGTAAATTTTATATACATGAATCGATTCGTTTTCATGCCAGGAATACGGTTTTGACAAAATGAATTAAAAATTTTCATAAAAAAAATATTTCAAAAGATATGAAAAAATTTTTTTTTCAAAAATTAAAAAATGATATAATTTATAGATTTTAAGTAAAATGTAGACTTTATATAGGTTACTCAATTTGTCTTAATGCGAGAAATCAGTTTTTTGGACAAAAAAATTATATTTTCATTGTAAAAAAATTTTTGGTTAAAAATAATATTTTTGAAAAAGTGACATAAAAAAATTATGTTGATATTTTTGGAAATCCTTGTGTTTGATTTTAGGTATTGATGACTGTAATAAGCCTATAAAATTTTAGGACAATCCATTGAAGTGTATTAGAGATAATATGTACTCTAGATTTTGTGACATACAGACACACACACACATACACTACATAAAGATGCCCTGAAATTACTTGTAAATTGACTATAAAAATGTTTAAACTTATTGTAATTGGCTCATGGGTGTATGCTGCTCGCAAACCATATTCCATTACAAAAACTCATGTATTAGTATTACCGCCAGTGGGCAAAAAGGCGCAAAATCAAAGATGCAACTTCAAACGCCTGTAACGATGCAATTTTGTAATATTTTTTAATAAAAAATTTTTTTTAAAAAGTTTATATTGTGTACTGTAAGGTATGCTTTACTTTAATTCAATAAACTTTACCAGTTTTTTTAAAAAAAAACCTGAAAAAACGTGCATTTACACGAGTTTCCCCCTTAAATAACAAGCAGAAAAAAATAAATAAAATAAAAAATAACTGAATAAAAAAATATAATAAGTAACAACACGCACTATATAGCAACAAATGAATTCTCTCCACAGGAATCAAAACGTAAACGTCCAAAAAATTTTGAAAAAATTAAAAACAGTGAACATTTTTGTTTGTTAAGAAAAAGATAAAATTTTTGTTTCCTAAAAAAATGTAAATCATTTTAAAAATTTGCATATCCGACTTACAATTGAATGATATTTTAGTAAGCTATTCTCAGAAACTTTAAATTTTCAGAAATAGGGTAACTGACGTAGTTGTTGGAACCTTAAGGGGTTAGTACCACATCTTTTTATAAAAAAATCGATTTTCTAAAAACTGCATATTCTTGTAGTAGATATATGTAGAAATGCAATGCAAACTATTATTTTGGTTGTAAACTTCGGTAACATGTCGAAAAACGGGGTACAATGTAAAAGTCACGTGCTCATGAAGCGTACTCCTTGCGAGTACAATATATGCTTTTATAAATATGTACCTATACAAATATGTATCAAATTACACATATATGTATATAAATGTGTATATAAAAGCATATATACATTTATATCATCTATCCTGTCGTGTAAGGGGGTATTAAAAAAAGGACATTCTTTCGTATAAATTCACTTTTTCGCAAAATAACGTTTTTTGACCTGACGGACATCATAAAAGGAAAACTATTTCACCGATTAAACTCAAATTTTTATGGCTTATTCAAAATATATACCGCTATCGTCGGAACTAGGATCATAATTTTTTATTAATATTTAAGAGTGTTGAAAGGACTTTAAGATTCATTGGCATTTAATTATCGCCCTATAAATACGGCACTGAACGTAAACACGATAAACATTGATTTTAAAACATTTTTTTCTCGAATTATGGACACTTTTTATAAAATCGGCCAATATACCAAGATTTCTTATCTTATAAATTTCCTAAATCCGAAAGATTTTTGGAATCCATGCAATAACGCGATCGCAAAATTAAAAATAGGAAAATAATAATAATAATGACAGCTGCGACTTTCTGCTCCCTGCATGCTTCTGCCTTCTAACAGCAGCAGGACGTAATAAAGCTAAAATTATTACTTTCCTATTTCCAATTTTACGATCTCGTTTTTGCATTGATTTGAAAAATCTTTCGGATTTAGGAAATTTATAAGATAAGAAATCTTGGTAAATTGGCCGATTTTATAAAAAGTGTCCATAATTCGAGAAAAAAGTGTTTTAAAATCAATGTTTATCATCTTTAAGTTCAGTGCCGTATTTATAGAGCGATAATTAAATGCCAAAGAATTTCACAGACCTTTCAGCAATCTTAACCATTTTTTAAAACAATTTAAGTTGAAAAAACAAGGTCAAAAATGAAAAAAGTCCGACATTTTTTTTTCATCGAAAACAGTTAATTGTAGTTCCGACGATATAGCGACGAGCTTACTTTTCAAGAAAATATAATTTTTTTTCGATGACTTGAATGGGAGATATCGTATCCGCCAATCACAAATAGGGTTATTTTCCAGCGGCCATGACAGCAATATAATGCATAATAAATAGGGAATTAGGTTGTTCAAATTGTGTGAAGACAAATCCAAAATGGCGATTAAGCGGTGCACACACAAACATAAGAAATGTACGGAATGAAATCGAATTTTTTTAATATTTCACTTAAATGAAATTTTGGAACCTAAGTGTATAAGGATTTTAGTTTCTATTTTTAATTACCTATTTAATGCAATAAAAAAAACGATTTTATTTTTTTAATAACTTTTATTATTGCATTAAATAGGTAATTAAAAATAGAGGATTTCTTCGCCCCGATTTTTCCTAAATTTTCCCGTACCTGAAAAAACTAATTTTAAAAAGTAAAAAATGAAAAAAATGAATTTTTCTAGGCCCCGAATTTTCCCAAACTTTCCCGTACTTTGAAAGATGTAATGATCTGAATTTTGAGCCAAAGGATTTGCTCGCCGGATGAGTCCGGGTCTTAAATTTTAGGAACTCTTGAGTTCATTTACTCTCTTATAACAAATTTAAGTGGTATATCGTGATAAGCAGGTAGGTAGAGTCAATAATGAGGCGATGATAAACCTTCGAAAGCAGTTTTTATTTAAACAATGTAAAGAAATAATAAACAATAAAAGAAAATAACAATAAAATAGATAATTAAAAATCAAACTGCTCGATAACTCAAAAATATATAAAGGTACAAAAATAAAGAAATCCTAGCTAACTAATTAACAATAGTAAAAATAAATGTAAAAAAAAACTAACTAACTAACTTAAGTGTAAAAGAGAGAAGTGGAAAAGAATAAAGAGTTTTTTTGAAAGAAGTAAGATGAAGAAGAATTTAGAAAAATGAAAGAATAGAGAATAGAGAAGTGAAAGAAGAAAGGAAACGAGACGGTACGCCGCTGTGGTGTTGCATTAATGCTGCATTGGTTCCGCCGCAATACTGTAAGAAGAGAATGTTTAGTTCTCGCCATTTTGTATTTTTCCCCAGGTGGAATGCTCAAAATAATTTCCGCGAGGGAGATTCTAGAAAACGCCCCTAGCTACGAGACGAGCGAAAACTAGGTTTCGTGCACGACTAGTGATTCTATTTTAAATCGAATTTCTAGATGCCGTTTCCGTACGACATTCATGCTCTACGCGAAGCTAGTGCGGAAAGAGAGAGAGAGGAAGTTACAGGTTATTCTTCGCTCCAGATGTACCTCGAGTCGAAGAATAATACCTGGTGCATCAACTCGGTGAAGAGCGAGACGTACCTCGTCTTCACAGGGTCGGTTCTCCAGGAAATGGCGGGTCAGGATCGCGTCAGCCTTCCACGGATGTACCCCTGGTCAGACCTTGCATGGCAGGTAAGAAAAGATGGAGGGCGAAGGGAGTTACTCTTGTACCAAGGTACCTGAGTACTACTCCTTCTGCAGGAATACATCCACCAGGTCGGCCCCAGATGTACCTGAGATACCGTCCTTGAGGATGAGGTAGGCAGGGCTAGCAGCACAGATGTACCTGTGGTCTGCCTGCCCTGGGGAGGATGATCTCATTCCTCAGGAGAGACGTACCTCACCCTCGGCGATAGATAAGAAAGGAAGAGAATAGGAGGAAAGGAGAGAGCTGCTGTCGTCCAGCCTCGAGATGTGCCTCGAGTCCGGTCGACGGCGAACTGAGGAAATTGTACGTGCAAGCAAGTATATACCGCTTGACGTTTCTACTGGGAGCTATGGCGCGAGTGAGAGAGACCACGTGCTGCGCGGCAAAGTATGCGCGCTCGGTACTCTCCTCCTGGCTGCCGAGCTGAGAGCTCAATCGTATAGAATATATATATTCATGCATTGAAATGATTTGAAATAATATGCTGACAAAATACTTTTCGTTTCGAATTAATATTTAAAATAAAATGCTTTCGTTACATCCCCCCTACTAAAAAAGCGAATTCTAATGAGCGTCTTGGGGAATGTAATATGCAAAAAATAAAGAGAAAAAAAAAAAAATAATTTTCAGTACCACTTACAAAATTTTTCTGGCTTTTCTAATGAATCCGTTGGTTCTCTCCAAGCGTAAAATCCACTTGCCATCGTTGACGGGCAACCGATAACGAGCGGGGCCAATCGGAACTTTAATCCATGGTCCTCCAGGAAGTTTAGAGATTTTAAATGGCAATTTTGAAAGTTCCTTTACCAGAGGAATTGGGTTTTCCTTCGAATTTTCAGCAGTGTTGTTATTTAGGTCGACTTCGTTGATGGTATCTTGGAGACTATTAAACAATTCTTCAAACGACTTCGGGCAATCTGACGATAATGGTTTTGGAGAAGGTAAGTTCTTTTTTACGATTATTGGGGTGGTAAGTAAAATGTCAGAAGTGATTTTGGGTTTATTAATTTTTTTCTTTTTAATAATTTGCGGTTTTTCTTTTTTAGGTGCAGTGTGAATCGGGTTAACTTTCTTCGGGCTTTTCATCTGCTTCATAATTTTATTTCTTGCGGTTAATTTGATCGAGGATAATTGTGTTGGGGTACGTTTGGTAATTTTACCACTCTTTTTAGGGGTAGGTTTAGCGGGCACAACTAATTTTGGGATACTTAAAATAGGTAATTTCGAATTTTGAATTTTTTTCTTAATTTTTTCGTTTTTTTCTAAATTAATCTTTTCTTCTTCTTTTTTACAGATATTGAGCATGGTGTTTTCAAAATTTCCTTTATGGATGGACGGCGGTATTTCCACAATTTTCCT